CTCCTGTTCCAGCCTTGGAAGTCAGGCCCAAGCCAAAAACCGAATGAAGCCAAGGTCAAGACAGTATGGCCCTGCAGACAGCCCATCTTTCCTTGCAATAGAGTTGAACTGTGGATTTCAAGAAAGAAGACTCTAAGATAGTAGTGATCATTTTATTTCTAACAACTAAGAAGGTTTATACTAGATAAATACTTAAATTACAACAGTAAGTGCTAATTTATACACACTTTATTCAAAACCTTGATTTAAGAAATGCCAAATGCAGTGTGGCATCCTGGATAGGTCTTGAGACATGAAAAAAATTAGTGGGAAATTGTCAGTGAAGTTTGGAGTCTAGTTACTAGTCAGGTCTCCAAGTTGATTGCTTCTTTGTGACAAGGAAACATGGTCGTGGGAGACACTGACGTTAGAAGAACTTAGGTGGGGGGTTTGCTGAGCCCTTGTCCTATCCCTGCAACTTGTATGTAATTCCAAAATAAGCCAAGCTAAAAAGCTTATTTTAAAATGGAGAAAAATAATTTAAAGTAGATTGACTTAAAGTAATTATTTGGAAGATAAAATATGGCCATTTTCTTCCACTCGTATGTTGTATTTCTTAGAATTGGTCAGATTTCACCACTATTTAACTATTAGAATTAAGACAATTATAATAAACATTATCAATAAAACTAATGTTGTCTTTCTATAATCTAAAACACATGGATTTGTAGTAGCTTTTAAATTCTCTATTGAATCAGGATTCTATCAATAAATTGCTTTAGGGCCAGCCCACGGGGTAGTGGTTAAGGGAACCGGGGTCCGTATGGCAGACTGTGTGGTTCAACTCTGAGCCTGGGCATCTTGAAAATCACACCAGATCATGTGTGTGTGCCGCAAACCCTGACAAGGTGAAGCAACAAAGGACCAAGGATGCAGCATGGCTGTGGCCCATGGGGCGCTTTCTCCATCTTCTAACCCCTCCCCCTCTCTCTGGCAAACACATATGCCTGCTGGCAATAAAAAAAGAAAGAAAAAGTCATCATAAAGTAAACTTAGTTGAGTAGTTACCCATTTGAAGGAATTCATTTTCTACAGACAGTTATCTTTAGGTTCTTCAAATTACAGTTAGATGAATGTTCAAAATGCAGGTCATCATGATTTCATCTGCAGAGAAATCTATTACATCATATTTTCAAAGTCATACTGCTTTAGTTTTATATTTTGTATAAATTGGGAATATCATCAAACTCACTTACGGGGTTAAAAATGAGTTTTGGAGAGTTTTGGAGACCCAGGTGGTTACATGAGGCGGATCAGAAGGAACTGGCTGCAGGGCTAGGTCCTACACAAGCAGCTTGAGAAGCCGGAAGTGTGTGCTCGTGAGTGCCCAAGATCCTGAAAGGGAGAAGGGGCTGCAGCGTGACTATTTCCCATGGGAGCTGCTTTCTTCTCTCTCTCTGTTTCTTTCTGGCGTGTGTACATACCCTCTGGCAAATTCAAAAAAAAAAATCAATTTGAGTTAATACGAGCTTTTTGGCAATTTTTGATCTTGGATTTCCCCACATTTTTGTTCATTATACTATAATCAAAATTATCTTATGAAATACATTAAGTTGAATCAGACTTTAATTTAAAACACAAAATGATTAAGAAAAACAAAACAGAAGCCAAAGTACTAAATTGCAAAATTAAATAAAAGCAAGATTTACCCTTGGGATGACTGGAACAGAGCACCCGGTGGGCTGACGGTAACATCTGTCCCTTCATCTACTGTATTTTTTCCCCCCAGAGGGCACATGCACTCACTAGAGAGAGACAGAGAGGAGAAGGAAGAGAACACCACCTCGTGCAATATGGCCAGGCCACAATCTCTTCTCCATTTCTCCATCCTGTTAGGATTTGGGGCACACACCCACATATAACTGGAATGCTTTTCAAGGCACCAGGGCCAGGATTCTAACTGTGCAGTCAGACATGTCAGAGTCAGCTCCCTTAACAACTAGGCCATGGGTTAGCCCCCTTTATCTAATGTTTTATAAAATTCCAATAAACATACCAAGAATACTAATACAACTTATGTAGATAATTAATAAATAAGAACATAAATGAACAACACAAAAATAAAAAAGACAACCTAAGATTTTTGATTCTTACTTAAATCAGAACACGTAGAGTGGAAACAAAAATCAAAGAAAGCTCCATAAATTTAAGTTGCATAGAATTTTATGAATAAAAAAGAAAAAGACCCAACCGAACAGAAAAGCAATCATTGAGTTTTGGACAACTTTGTTGGGTATATAGAAATTAATTTCAGAGTAATGCTAAACCAAATAAATTATTCTCTACATAAGGGTAAGTATCTAGAACAATATTCAAGCTAATTCCATTGCTATGAAATACCAGATATTACCTGTCACTAAGATTCTTGTCTTCAAGTATTCCATCTTAGATCTATGAATGCTATGATGATACATACTATGTATTATACACATTACATATGTGCACACTATATATAAACAAACATATATGTATAATATACATGCACACATATATTAAATATTTATAAAAGGTCAAAGGCAAACCATGATAAGGATAATAAAGATTATATGTCGGTTAAAGAAATTTGATAATGTCTTTATGTAATTTGTTAGAATTTTATGTGATTCTTCAAGCTTTCTATAAATTGATTATTTGCAAAAATTTGTCCATTCTTATACACTTTTTGGATGCTATAAAAATGTAAGTACATAGGGGCTAGCAAGTGGAATGATTGCTATACATATACACACATATGTATACATACACATGCACACATATATGTATACATATGCACATATATGTATACATACATATACACACATATAGGAGAAATGTTTAAGTTAATAAAAGATGTCATATAAATATGTGACTCAGAGAACTATTTATTTTTTACTCTGTTATTCTTAATAAATCTTTTGAAACAAGTTTACATCATCTTTAGAATGGTAAAATGAAGATATATTTTTGAAACTAACATTTAGCAGCGGGGAATACGAGCTGAGAAGGTTCAAGAAGACTGGGGAATTCTGAGCCTACTAAGACACTGATGCCCATTATAATACAAAATTAATTCAGATAGTTTATTTAAAACAGAAAAGTGATATAATTAATCAATGAAAAAGACCAGAAAGCCTCAAAGCGGAACTTCACATAATGCAGTAAACTCTCCAACACAAAGACGTTAACAAGGATGATTCAGTATCTTTGGTTGAGATAACAGTTCGGGAGATAAAAAGAAGAAAGGAGGAAGTTTGGCTAGTCTAACTGGCTTCATTATCAGGACTCCACAAGGTAACACTTCAGGGTTAATGCATCCAAACAACAAACAAACAAAAATACTAAATTAGGGGGGAAATCTAAGTAGAAGGGAATAATAGACCATTCAAGAGATCTGAATAAATATACTTTTAGTTCTGATATTTTAAAAAAAGGAAAAGATTATCACCTGAATAGATACAGATGCAAAATCCATGTATAAATAAAAAATCAGCAAGATATTGTGAAAATATTGACATCGAAATTTTGATAAATGATCAGTAGGTCCAAATAGAAAGAGTTTCTTCAAAATTAGAAAAAGAAAACGAACAGGGAAATGTCTAAGTAATAATCAGCAGAAGAAAAATGAGAAAAGAAATTCATTCAGTAACAGGCCACATAGTAAAATAAATTTGAAATACTGTTTACAACTGCTAAACTAGTGAAAATAAATGTTAAAAGATAAAACACGAATAAGAATACGAAGAACTGACACGCTGCACGTCTGATGGCTCACATTTATAACTTGTTCTGAAAACAATACGACTGGAGGAAGCTGGCCCCATCTATCTCAGAAGCTTACTCTATGCAATCCATATTTAATAGCACAATTCCTCTGAAACAAAAAAGATGTGTGCACAAACTGTACATGCTCTATTTTTTTAAAAAGAAGCAGTTAAATAATGATATAATAAATTAATATAAATATATGAGAATTAATTAGAAATAGTGAAATGTTTATTATATAATCACTGAAAATAGAAAATATACCATAGTAAATGAGGGTACTTCAAAAAGTTCACACTAAAATGAAATTGATGTCTGGGTTTATTTTGGTGTAAAACGTGTCTTAGATCCAGGCACAGTTTTTTTTCATAATATGCATTTTTTTTTATGAACTCTGTGGAGGGCTCCAGATGCTGTGGGTCTCGCTATCTCTCCTGCACGTCTCTTTAGCAGTAAAACCATAGACACAGGAGCACACGTGTTCTGTGGACAGCCAGAGGCACTGCGAGAGTTGTCAAATACACCTCCCCCAGTCCACGCCTGCCTGCTTCATTCCAGGTGCTCAGAGCGTGTTCTTTCAATATCAATTTCAATACCAAGGAATTGGTACATTGTAAAGTTAACAAATGGAACACAAATCTTTGGAATGAAAGGATTAGAATTGATCAATTCTATAATTCTGTGGAACAAAAGGAATGTGAAGAAAAGCAGAAACCGTGAAAGATGGCAAGATTTCACTGGCATGGATCTCTTGGAAAAGCAGGATTAAAGAGCTGTTTTAAAGCCAATGTGTGTATGCTTGTGTGTACGTATGTAAAAATAGAAATATACAGAAACTCTCAGTTTCCACAGCATCCTGGGCAACGTCTGCGGAGTTCCTGACCCAGGTAGACCAAGTGTCACTCCGCAGGGACACCCCGCTGTCACTTAGTGCCCCCTCTCTGCGCTCCCCGCACTGCACAGACATGTGCTTCTTGGCTCACCCTTACACCCTTACTGCTTCTGCCCAGGCTCGGCTCGTGGAGCTCAGAGCGCAGGTGCCGCCTGCTACTGGCCAGTGCTGGGCTTCGCTGTGAAGCCACCTGTGGCTCAGAAGAGTCTGACCTAGAAGAGGCTCGTAGAGGTTGTGTTCACCTCCAGCTCCCAGAGAATGGATGCGCTTCCCTACCCCTGCGAGCTCCGCCACCTGTGGCCCAAGCGCCCCCATGCCCTCCACGCACCTGTTCCCTCCGGACTCTGCACCGCACGCTTCATCCGGAGGTTCTCACCGAAGGTGCCGGCTCCCGGAGCTGGTGGCACAAAGATCCCCTATGAACAGATAAACCCCAGGACATCGGAAGGTCAGCTGAGTGGGGACAGGCAGCATGGGGCGGAATGCTGCTCGGGCTGGGCTGTGGCAGCTGCAAACTCACCTTCGGGGCCGCAGTGACAGCTGCATTTGCCTCCAAGGCGGCCCCGAGGGCTCCCGCCCTGGCTTCAGCCGGCGCTGGCAGCTGCTCAGCTCGGTGGCTCCGCAGCTCCGCGCGCAGGCTGGCTAGGTCCGCCTGCAGGGCGGCCACCCAGCAGAGACATAAGGCCGTGATACTGCAGGACAGAAGAGCCAACAGCAGGGTGGCAGCCAGCAGCTTTCCATCCTTGGGGACCAGGACAGAGGGGCTCTCCTTCCGCAGCAGGATGGGAACGCACTCCTGCGGTTTCATCTCTTCCTTTTCCTAGGGCCAGGAGGAAGGCGTGGCTGCTCCCTTTCTGTGGAGTCACCCACTTCACCACTTGAGCTTTGAAAGTTGGGGCCTTTAGAATGAGTGACCACAGGGAATGGGTCATTTCCTGTTATCTGTGTCAGTCGAGGTCCCGCACAGCCGCCAGGGCAGGGCCAGCTCTGCCGCTCAGGACCCCACTCCCGCGGGCCGGCTTTCTGCCCTGTCTTGGTGCCGACCTTAGATGATTTACTGGCATTGCCCTTCTATTGCATTGCTCAATCCGTCTTCCTCATTTCACTTTCAGTTTTTGTAACAATTTTAATACCATTTTGAAGCACTCATGCACAAGGAGATTTGAGGCCAGAGACAAGGAGTTTAGGCGGCACACGGGTCGGTAAGGAGCCGGATTTGGCCAGGAAGCTTGCCCAGGGGCACGGAGAGGGAACTGTCTGCTTGGGGACATGTGGCACTGTAAGGAAGGAAAAGCACACGAAGTTTCCTGCTGCAGCGATAAAGAATAATTAATGTGAAGGTGAGATAAGCTAAGTGCTTCAGCACCGAGCTGCGCTGAGCAGGAGAGTGATTTATTAATACTCTTCAAATACAAAATAAAATGAAGTGTCCTTAAGGGGCTGGAGGAAGTCCCCCGGGGAACTATTCTTGTTATTATCTTAACATTTAATGAAAAGAGTGTGCGTAAGTTCCGAGGCATGTCTGGATTAGATAGCAGGAGACTTCCTCACCTGTGGGTGAATACATTTCTTTAAGGGAAATGAATATAACTGTTTCTCCAGAGACGCCTTTCTGGGGAGTGGATCGTGCACTCGATGACCCCTCCCAAGCCAGTCTGCCCTGGGCGCGCTGATGTCTGCAGCCCCAGCCACTGCCCAGCCCAGCCCTGTACGTGGGTCAGCTATCCCAGCTCCCATGCCTCACTCCCCTCAAGAAGCTCCCGGGTGGCTTATCCCCCGGGGACCCCATCAGGAGTGCATGTGAAACCTCCCGAATGACCCAGAGGCCTTCGGCTTGTCTCCCTGCCGTGGGCCTTGGGGGCTGTAAGGACTTCACTCACTTTGGGCCTGCCTCGTCTTGAAGCCAGCTTGTGGGCACTTCCCAGTTTCTGGTTGCTTTGCTGCCAGTACGAAATATTGAGTCATCCCTCCAGCTCTGTCCCTGGGCACCTTCCAAGCCCTGCAGGCACTGCTCCCAGACAATCCTTAGAAAGTGACAGAAAGAAGAATGTCTGAAGGGGAGAGCTCTTCGGCCAGCACCCAGGGTGCAAATCCCGCCACTGCCCTCTCCTGGGGTAAATGCAAAAGCTCTCTGTGGTTCAATATATCCATCTGTAAAATGGGAGGACAGCCCTGTCTTTGAGACTTGCGATGAGACTTAGGGGAATATAGAAATGAGCGATGTCCAGGCTGCTTCCACTTACTTCATCCATCGCACTCAACCCAGGCTAGTTTTCCTTATGATAAACAAGGCACAGCAGGCGTTTCTGTGCACTTGTCCCTGTAGCGTCAGCAGAGGTTGCCCACACAGACCCTCACTGAGGAGCACGCACCACACCTCTCGCAGGTGCCAGCAGGTGGCCCTGAGTCCCACTCTCCCTTTGTCTGATTAACACATGATGCCATTGCACTGACTCACTTTTTACCCACTGACATTGTAATTTTTTTTTAACCTTTTGCTTCTAAACATTCCAATGACTTTTTTCTTTTTTTCTTTTTTTTTTAAGAGAGAGACTTTTGCTAAAGGGCACGTGAGCTCACTGGAGAGACAGAGAGACAGAAAGTGAGAACTCACTCCCGGGGGTGGGGAGATGGCCACACCACAGTCCCTTCTCCTCCACTCTCCTCTCAGATTTTGGCCACACGTACACGTGCACCTGGCATGAGTTTTAAGCCACAGGGTCTGGGACTCGAACCATGGCCGGCTACATGGGAGTTCAGCAATGTAACCATTATGCCATCGGCTGGTCCCTTCCAATGACCTTTATAAATAACTTATTACTACCCTGGCCCCCAGCACAGGCTGCGTCCTAATTTCCCAGGTGGAAGTCTTCCTTGGTGAGCTCACATGTAAGCTCTCTGACGTCAGACATCGCCTTACACAGTTCTGGCTGTGTCCTTGCCTCAGGCCATCCAGAGTGGGGCAGCTGGATACTCATCACGGAAGACCAGACCAGGTCGGGGATTGTAATAAGCTGCCCACACTGGAAGGAACTGAGGCTCATACCTAAACACTTCAGAAATCTAAGGACTCACTGCAAGTGGTCTCAGGGCCTGGTTTTGCTCTCTACGCTCCCTCAGGATGCAGGAGGCTCCTTCTGTGAGCTGGCCATCTCCACCTCTGACAGGCTGCTCCTTCTCATCCATGCCAGTAAAGGTTCCCAAGAGAGGGAACAATTCCACCGGGTCAGGGAATCCCTTCTGCCCTCCCTGCTCAGTGGGGCAGGGATGTTCATGCCTGACCACCTCGAGAGAACCTCGGAGCAGCCTGCACTCAGGCTGAGCTGGAACAAGTGCCTGAAGTTGTTTGAAGTGCTGGGTGCCCAATGAACTCGGCATAGGCGTCTACTGCTTCTTCCGTGAGGGCCAGCTGGGACATGGCCAAGTAGGCATTGCACTGCGCCCACACTCCACCGGCACCGTGGGATGGAATTCTCTGAAAGCAGCAGGAAACCCAGTGGGCTCACAGATCTTCATTTCTAATGAGACGAACAGAAGGAAGTTATTGCATTATCAACCAAAGATCTGTTTCCAGCAGGGGAAATGGTCTGATGACAATCTAACTGAAATTTTCTAAAACAGAGAGCACATTCATCTTCAGTGAATGATACGCTGCACCACACGTTCATTTAGGAAGAAGCTACTGCAACCGAGCCACAGCTGGTCAAGTTTGAGTGTTCACCATCAGTATTTACACTCTCCCCCAACTTGAGTGTAAAGCCTTCTGTAATACAACAACACTAAACTTATTGAACAAATCAAGAGACCACATCTTTGGAATTGCTGAAGGGTTCAATCCCTCAGGAGTGTGCAGATAGAATTGAAAGCATATAAGGAACAGAATCAAATTACAAAGTAAACATTCCCTCTTTGACTCCCTGCTGGTCTCATTGCCTTCACAAATGCTCAAGTGGCTTAAGTAGAAATCCCTGGTTAAAGAGCTCTATAATGAATTAGCAGGTTTGGAGGAATCTCTTCTGTCCCTGTTTGAGAAAAAAGGGTGCTTTTGGAAGCATCTGGACCACTTAACTGTAAAAACAGAAACTCTTTCAGATCTATGAATGTACTGAAAAATGCACCTACGTCAAGCTGGCCTCTTGAAGTGCTTAGGACAGAGACTGTGGTTCGGCACAAACGATGACTACATTTTAAAAGGAAATCGTGTTGTTCTCTGGTCGACGTGTATGTGCACAGTGCTATTACGGTTGTAAAGAATAGCTGGTGAAATGGCCACCGTGTGTGGTCATGAAGTAATAAACCACTTGGAGTAGACAGCTCTAGGCATTCCTTACCTGGAAAGATCAAGTGGGCACCCGGAGAGGCCGGTTTCCTAACACTGACATTTAAAGGGAGTGTGCATTCCCACCTCGGGCGTAGTCCCCGCTGTCAGGAAAAAAGTCCGCTCTGAAGAACTCCAGCCTGAGAACAGATCGACTTGTGATTACGGCCTCGATTTGTCTTCTAACAGTTTCCAGATGTAACGCGCTTGAGTCGGTGTCCAAGTGTATGCTGTTAAGAAATTCCTGCTTACTTCAATACTCTTCCAGTTAGAGTTCAATTTTCTTGACCTTTATAATCCTCAGAAGAATATTTTCACTGATATTCAGATGAGCATGTACCAGTGTGATCCCCTACCTAGTCCACATACATGAATGAATTTTCTATTCTACACACACAAACACACAGACTACGCATGGACACACAGGCACACGCAAGTAGTACGGGCTCAGACCACAAAGGCATGGCCAGAAACGATAAATTACTTCTACCCAACAAAGAAGCTACTTATGAATCTTCCTCTGCTTTTAAAAAGCAATAAAGTAGAGGAGTTTTAAAAATATTTAAATATGTTCACTTTATCTTACTTTTGGAATTTTCCAGAAGGTGCATGCACTCACCAGACAGACAGAGGGAGAAGACATCCCTCAGCAGGCGTGAGCTCGCACAGTGCTTTCGCCTCCACGTGTTCATTCTTCTCAGAAATTCGGGTATGCATGCACATGTGCTAGATATGGTTTTCAAGCCACCAGGGCCAGGATTCGAACCACATGGTATGCTGAGTGGGATGTGGAGCCTTAGCCATTAGGCAACAGAGCTGGTTCTGTAATAAAGCAGAGTTTGAAAAAAAAAAATGACTGGCTTGAAATCCTGTGAGAAGAAAGATAGGGCTGGAGAAGGTAGGCTATAAATCAGAGGTGTCCTTTTTCAAAAAAAAAATTTAAGAGAGGTTTTTGCTATAGGGCATGTGTGCTTGCTGGAGAGACAGGGAGAGACAGAGAAACAGAAAGCAAGAAATCGCTCCCAGGGGAGGATGGTCATGCTGCAATCCCTTCTCTTCTGTTCTCCTCTTGGGATTTTGGGCACACACGCACATGCACCCGGCGTGAGTTTTAAGCCACTGAGTCCAGCACTTAAACTGTGATGGACTATGTGGGAGTCCACCGATGTAACCATTACGCCATCTGCAGCTCCCTGGAAGGCTCTTGTATGCCCAGTTTTGCTTCAACATCTTAACGGACTCTTTCCTGCCCCAAATCTAGAAACTGATCTTGGATCTTGTTTAGATGTCTCGCTCTGAGAGATGCTGACATACTCCCAGACACCAGGGAAATGCTCACCTCCAGAGGCCTTTCAAGGTGTGTCCATCCAGATCACCGTGGACTGCCATAGGTGGGCCAATGAAGGAGGCTTTGCACAATTCAGTGTGCGCTTTAGGGGCTCAGGAGAGAGGTCCTCATTTTGAAACAGAAATACAAGGAAGACACTCTTCTCCTTTCTCTGGACATTCTAATTCTGCGTGGGACAACCTAGAGCTGCCGTTTGCAGCTGCCTTGAGCCAGGATGCACTGCAGAGGGCGGGAGGGCAGGTTCCTGGAGGCCTGGCCCTTGTGCACACCTGAGCTGCTGAATTAACCAACTCTCCGTGTTCTCTACGTGAGTCCTATTTTTCTTTATCATTTACGCCAGTTTGAGACAAGATTAGATGTTAATGTGTCACAGACATCCTAACCCGGTCTGCTAGCCTGAAGATTATATTATGAACAAATTTACATATCAACAATAGAGGGAAACTGGAATATATATACATTATTTACCTTGAGTACAGAAGAAATTAAGTAATCAAACAGGAAATGCAATTGTCATTCCCTCCTTCAACAGTGTTCTAGGCCCTTGGGATGCAAAAGAAAAAAGAAAAAGAAAAAAAAAGAGAAAAAGAAAAGAAAAAAAAAAGAAAGTTCAAAATTCCTGTATCATGCAGCATAAATTCTATTGTATAAGATCATTTTAAACGATTTCAAACTTCATTCACAGATTTATAGTTTCTTACATAGTTTTCGATTTCATTTGTCTCTGTGGCTAATGTCTATGTCTGATCTTCTCTTTATTTTTCGAAAGGAAAGATAAAACTTTCTTGTCTGGTGTTGTCAAAGTAACCAGATGAGGTTTTCCTTATCTTTATGATTTGCTTTATTCTACTCTTGTTTTGTTGTTCTTTATCCTAACTTTTCCAAGTGAATTCTTTTGATTTTATTTATTTATTTTAGAATGATTTTTGCTATAGGGTGTGTGTGCTCGCCGGAGAGAGAGAGAGAAACAGAAAGTGAGAAATCACCCCTCAGGGGAGATGGACATGCCACAATCCTTTCTCCTCCACCCTCCTCTCGGGATTTTGAGCACGTATGCAAATGTGCCGGGTGTGAGTTTCAAGCCACCAGATCTGGACTTGAACCACAGTTGATCATGTGGGAGGAGTCCAGCAGCGTAACCATTATGCCATCTTCTGGTCCCCAAGTGAATTCTTAATCCTTCAGTTTCTTTCTGATGTGTTAATATAAATATATATACCGTTGCATTTCCTATGACTATTGTTTAGTGACACTCAAAGGTATCCGATATGTATTTTTTATTGTTTTAGACAATCTGGGAATTGGGTGGAGATTTCCACTTCAACTTAAAGTCATCTCAGGGCCAGTCGGTGGCATGGTGGTTAAGGCGTCTGGGACCCACATGGTGAATCACACAGTGCAAGTCCTGGACCTAGCGACTTGAAAGCACGCCAGGCACATGTGAAATCTCAGAAGGAGAAATGAAGAAGAGTGGATTTCAGCACAGCCATCCCCCATGGGGGTGCTTTCTCACTTTCCTTTCTCTCTCTCTGGTGACCCCATGTGCCCTCTGGCTAATTTTTAAAAACATTAAAAACAAAAGTCTCATTAGAGATATTTGATAAATTGTTTCATTTTATTTTTTTCCCATTTTTAAAAACTATTGGGTCATCAGAAAAGTCATGATGCATTTTTGCATAGAAAAACAGAAAAATACATCTTGATGTTTCTCAATAATTTCTACAATTGCTTATTGTATTGCAGCCAGATAATTTTCTCCTACTATTTCTACTTATAAAGCTTAATTAGAATTTCTTTCTAGGTTAATAATATTGCCATCTGTGTGAGTATGACATTGATATTTGAAAAGAAGGCATGCCTTTACTAACTTTATTACAGTCTGCAATACTCTTATTCTTTTATTTATATGATCTGTCACATTCTAATAGAAGTGAATTAAGTCTCCTACAGCTAATGCTTATCCCAAGTATCCCCAATTGCTTTTCCTCCTGTGTTAACTTTATGATTATTGATGCTGTATTATTTAGCGTATATCATTTATGCAGTTACTAAAAACGAAGTCGAGATAATGACTCATGCCTATCAAAAAGAGAATTTTTCCCTTTCCCCAAATACACAAAGAACATTCAAAATGTAATTAATGCGGAGAGCTTACAAAGTAGAGTATTTTAAGGGCTGCCCTGATGGGTACTTCGAAGACTGGAAGAACAGCCCTCCCACCCCCACCCCCAGAGACAAGCAGATTTGCAGTGTGATATCACAGCTTTTTCCATGAAAAGGTGAGTTTGTCTTCTGCCCCTGAATCTGAACTGACCTTTGGAGTGGCTTTGACCTGTAGAATATGGCAGACATGACCAGCGTTGGCTTTTGCACTTCTGGACTGGTTTCCAAGAACACTGTATAAAAGTCAAGCCTAGGGGGTAACAAGACACAAGGACCAGAGTCCAGCATAGCAGGTACTTCCTGCCAAACGTGTGAGTGAGGGCGTCTTGAGCTGTGAAGTCCAGCATGAGTGCCAGGGCATGCAGCCCTGCGAGTGACGCTGTGTGGCCAGCAGAAACTCCCTAGAAACCCCACAGAATCACAAATTAGTAGCTCATTGCTGTTATAAAGCACTAATTAGGGTGGCTTGGCAGTTAGCCATAGATAACTTACATCACATTTGCTGATTAAATAAAATAACTACCAAAATCATTACAAAAATGCTGACCA